GCGGCCGCGGCGACTAGTAGGTGGAGGAGGCCGTGCTCAAGGCGTCTTCGGAGATCCTGGTGCCAGCAGGGTGGGTGCTGGCGAAGTACTTGACATCACTGTCGCGGTCCATCTGCAGGGCCACGATGGTCTGCTCCACCGCCTCCTGGTGGCAGCTGGCCGAGGCCGAGAAGTACTCTGGGGGCGGGAAGCGCAGATCACGTGAACCCGGTGCAGCGCCTCCCGTCCGCCAGGAACACGGTCAACACGGGCGCTTCCGGCTGACGTGCGCTCTGACAGCATTACAAGACTGTCCTCGTTTATGACAGACTAAGCCTCACGGCGCTCACGGCGGTGGCACTAACCTACGGCACCGCACTTGTGACAGCCGCTCGGCAGCGCGGTGCCAGGAGCCAGCTTCCGGACACAAACCACACACACAGAAAACCAGCCTTCTCCAGCCCTTCGTTCTAACTGCTGCTAAAAATTTTAAATGAGAAAAAAACAGCAGTACTCATTCACCTGCACTGAAGTCTACTACAAATTTCTTTCTCTGCTTCATTCATGAATTCAAGTGACACTAATCGGCATTCCGGGGTGATTACAGTAAGTAGAACAACCCGAAATTTGAGGAGCTTATAATCTGCAGCCAAGCAAACAGAATAAAGAAAAATCCACCTGCACAGAAGGGTGATGATTACAGCCCCTCCCTCGGCAGGAAGACCGTAACAACTCATGAGACCCCGTCTGCAAGCGCCCATCCACCTGCGGGCGTGAGCTCCTGGCCTGACGCCTCTCCCCAGCCCACTGCTACCTACCTTTTTCTAGTAGAGTCTGTCTTAGCGTCTTGGCGAGCAGCACTCGAACGTTGGGGACTCTGTCGTTGGCCAAGGTCAGCAGGTGCGGCATGAGGTGCAGCGCAAACTGGTCCATGGGGAGGCAGTCGTCCTCGATGACCGTCTGGGGACAGAGGGGACCACCTCAGGCTGGCTGGTCTGCCCAGCGGTTTAACCAAGTCTCCCAGAAACGAGTTAAGGGCTTTTGATTTTAGTTACTGCTTTTTAAGCCAACATTCCAGGCACTTGGGACCTCAACACAGGATGCCAAGTCCCCACAGAGCTGCTCATGGTCACCTGCCCCTCGGAGGCTGGGATCACGCTCTGCCACCTCGGGGGCCTGGGGACAGAAGGGAGGAAGGCCAGCACAGGGGACATGCGGTCCTGGCTGGGCGCCCACCTGGCAGACGAAGACGAAGGCCTGGCGCCCGGACCAGCGTGGGCAGCGGCCGAAGTTCTCCACCAGCTCATGGATCAGGTCCACCCCAAAGGAGGGCGGCGCCGCGCGGTGCAGCTTCCGCACCATTTCGCTGACCTGCGAGGACATGCTCAGTGGGCATTGCTGGCTGCTGCCCGTCGCCCGCCCTGCCCACCGCCCGGAGCCGGCAGTCATACCAGCTTGTAGGAGATCCAGCGGACAGAGGAGACCTTGTCCGCGCACAGGCTCAGGGCGATGGGGCGCAGGTAGTCATAGACGTCCCTGGGGCTGTACAGCTCCAGGAGCAAGATCAGCTGCCTGCAGATGAACCAGAGAGGGAGGGGAAGCACCCTGTAACCATGGACACATAAAACAAGCAGGCTGCTCTTCTCAGCAGCAGCGCCAGGTCCTCGCTGTCTGTAACACACACAGAGCCGCCTGCTCCCTGCACGTCCGCCAGCTTGGGAACCCCAGGCACGGTCAGAAGTCCCTCTTCCTCTCAGGATGCGGGCAAGACAAATGCTGCCGAATTCTGCGTCCACGGGATGGAGACGGCGGAGCATCTCCTGCTGTGCTCAGTGGGGCTGCGGACACGGGCTCCCACGGGGACCGGGATGTGCTAAGACACTTCGTCTGCACATCGGCTGTCTATGGAATAAAGTGCTGGCAGCATCAGGCAGCCCGGCATGTGTCAGAGCTCCGGGACCAGCAGCAGCGCCTGGCGGTCTGAGCAGAGGCGGCAGCGCCCGTGAGGGAGGACCCTGGGTATGGAAGACTTTCACCTCCCAGCTCTGTGTCTGAGGTCACCGACCCCTGCGGGCAGCAGGCAGTGCCTGGTGGGGCAACGCGGGGCTAAGCAATGACCGGGGGCACCGCAGACCTCACAAGCCCTGTGCCGCTGCCTGGGGTCAGGAAATGGGCAGGGGCCCTCCTCTCACCCTCCACAGGCCAGGGCAGCACACAGCGGGGGCCGAGGGGAGGACACTGCCCGAGACCAAGCACGGGTCCAAGGCAGAGAGGGGGCTGGAGGGGTCCCAAAGACTGAGGCCAAATGGAAGGAGCAGAGAGCCCCCTCCCTGGTGGGCCTCCACGTGGAGGCTGAGATCTAGGGCTGGGAGGGACCTGGAGACGACGGCGGGTCCCAGGCCCCCAGCCACCCACCTCCCCCCAACTGGCTGGAAGACGTGTGTTCAGGCGGCACCAAAGTCCCACACAAGCATGGAACCCAGCCCTGCGGGCGAGGGGCAGGCAGGACGGCCCCGAGGGGTGACCTCCTTGAGGCTCTGAAGGAAGCGCCATCAGCCCCAATCCCCCAGAAGCACGCTGCTCCTGAAAACGCTGGCGAGGTCCAGAACATTCTGTGAAGCACTCTTCCAATTCAACAGCCCAATTTAAGACACACAACCCAGTTACAAAACAGGCAAGAACTTGAAGACGTTTCTCCAGAGAAGCATCTGAACCGTCAACAGCACCAAGGGGCTGAGCCTCCCTGCTTGCTCAGGAAACTCGATCAGACCAAGACGGGGTGCTGCTCTGCACCCACGGTGACCCGGGCCGTGAACAGCAGCAAGTGCAGGGCGTGGGGGCCGGGAGCCCCAGCCACGCCGGCAGGGAGGTCCCTCTACACGGCCTCACAAATCCACCTCAGAGACGCCGAAACAGGAACTAGTGTGTGAGTGTTCGTGGCAGTGCCGCCCACGTCAGCCAAGAGGGAGAAGCAACCCACGCGAGTGGACCAGGACGCTGCACGGCCGCGCGGGGCGGCACCGCCCAGCCGCAGGCATGACAGGTGCGCCGGCAGCGCACACGGGGACCGGAGAGGAGGTCCCACAAAAGCCCGCGTGGGACGCGACTCCACTTACACGCAGGGCCCAGAACAGCAAGAGACACAGAGCAGACCGACCGCGGAGGGAGGGGGAGCGACCGCCTAAAGGGCAAGGGTCTCCCTTTGGGGTGATGGGATGCTCCAGAACCCCCGCAGTGATGCTGTGCTGCCGAATGCCGAGTGTGAGCAGGGGCAGGAGCGGCTGTGCGCACGTGAGGCTGCAGCACAGTGAGTGTCAGAGGGACAGGACCTGGACGGGCCTGGAGCCACCCCGAGCAAGGACAGAGCCGGAAGGCAAAATGCAGGGGCCGCCCCCCGCCCCCTGCAGCAGCACTCACTCAGCCAGCTCCGCCCGGAAGCGCCAGTTCCTGCTGTTGTCCGTCACCAGAAACTCCTGCAGCTGGTACAGGTACTCTCGTCTCTTGTCAACATGAAGGAGCTGAAGGGACAACACGAGAGCCGTCACTGGGCAAGGCGCAGATGCTTCTCTCCCAGACTGCTCAAAAGTGATGGCAAACCACACGGCTCTTCTGCAGGACAATGGCTGCAGTAGGTACATGTACTTGTTTTAAAAACTGGTATTAAGTTCATTTTCCCGATAGTCCAGGCATTATCCGCTTTGACACATTTGCTTCCTGGGCCACTGTGTGTCCCCCGGACTCTAGTGTCCCTAGCCCTTGGGCACAGCTTGGCCAGAACCCTCGTCCTCTTTACTCCCACGAAGTCCGAGTCATCAGACTCTCTGGACATAGCGGCTGTGCTCTTGCTCAGACACATGAGCCCAGCAGGCGGCACTGTGAAGGCACACAGTAGGTGCTCAATGAGTGAAGAAAACAAAAAGGAATTTACCCCTCTAATTAGTTGTTCTACAAACATTTAAAAGTAGGTTTAAGTCAACGGGGGGGAGCCCCAAAAGCTGATATACACAGGATCCATCAAACAGGTAAGATCACACAGGAAAAAGTCTAAGTCTGAACTTGCTGTTCTGAGCACATGTCTTCATGGAACACGTTCTAATGGCAGGAAGTGCAGGAGGGAACCTAGAGCAGGCGTGCTCTCATGTCAGTATCATTCCTGGTGGAGGAGTTCGGAACCTGTCCCACGTGTGCTGCATAAGAGCTGAGCAAATGACCGCGTGAGCTAATGCTGCTAAAAACAGAGTTTTTACCACAAGAGAAAAAAGGAGAGGAAATGGTACTGGATCAGAAGTGGAGATATCAATATGAACTCAACAATTAAAAAAAATCAGTAATTAAAAAAAAAGACCCAAACCCCAAATCCCCTCCTCCTGTCCGTCTCTGGAAAAGCCCAGGAGGAGTGGCACCTGGGGGGCCGCCCGGTGCCTGGACCCTGGCTTCCCCGAAGGTCTCGGGCCTCCGGCCGGGGCGGGACAGGAGGGGTGTGCTAGAAACCAGGGGCAGAGCGAAGGGACGCAGGAGCTGGCTTTCAGGGGCTCCTACTCACCAAATTTGATGTGCATAACAAACGACACAAATGGATTAAAAAAGTAAATCTAAAGTCCACAATGATACTAAAAACACTTCTAAAAAGGTAGAGGGAGAAAGGGGAAAGGTTATCTTTACATGAGACACCAACTAATAAATACAGGAGTTACAAACCCAGAAAATCACTATTTTACAACCTACAAGGTAACAACCGACTCAGGAAAGAAACAGGTACAAACACAAAAGCACTGGGCAAAGGACTCGGGGGGAGCCGTTCACAGGGTATGAAAGCATCGCCCACCGAGGGGTCGTGAGCCTGGACGGAGACAGTGGGCAAGGCCACTGCTACGGGGCCGCTCCACGCCGCCCACCACCGGGAGCGGACATCATCACCCTAACGCCGCCCATCCAGGAAAACAGCTGCCACCTGTGTCCAGAAGCAGCGTTCCTGAGAAGAACTCCTGTTTTACCTGAACTCTGCACATAACAGAGCAGGTGATTCCAAATGCGGGTTGGGGGCACTCCGCAGAACTGGCCAGACCTCCTCAAAAACGCCCATGACGTTAAAGACGGGAGCCAGGGGCCTGCTCTAGGTGTAGGAGGATCACAGAGACGGGACTGGTTTTACATTCAACATGCAGCTCCCCACCGGATTCTGAGTCCAGGGGACACTCCTTGGGCAGTCAGAGAAAGCACGATCTTTGTAAAATGTAACCACATGGTAACTACAGCGGTATTCTAGGATTAAACAGTTTGCAAAATCAGAGCTGTCCGCCTCAGACCCCACACCAGAGGGGTGAGGGCAACTCAGTAGCATAAACATAGCAAAACGTGAAGCGCCAGGTCCATAAAACCTCTTACGTGTATTTAGTTCAATGACTGTGGGAAAAAACATGCAAATACTGGTGCTCACGATCTAACATCGTTTAAAAATGAAATTCAGGGTGACTATTTTTAAATTAAACATTAAAGTGACACCACTGAAACAAAAAAAAAATAACCAGTCCCATTCTAGTCAAAGTGAATCTCACAACCAAATTCACAGCTACATTTCCCTACACAGACCACACAGAAGCCTATCGTGATGGTGACACAAAGCCAAATTTTTACATCTACAGTGGAATTTTAGTGTTTATCATGCAAAGAACTTAAGGGTTACCTTTAGAAAATCATGCAGGTGTTTCAGGACACCTATCCTGACTTCATCGAGGTCTTTCAAGAATCCATTGAAAATTGGAACCAGATCTGCTGCCGTCAGCTGATCCCCCAGGATGACGGCGAGCTCGTGGATGGAGAAGGCCAGGGTTCTCCGAACCTTCCACTGCGGGAGAGAGACAACTGTGAGTAAGCGGACACAGAGCCTGGGTGCCTTTGCTTTTACATAGTACACATGGCTAATTTATATCTCAATGTTACTAATCTCAAGTCAAATCAGAATAAAAGTAGTAACAGAGGTCAAGTTCTAAACGCCTGCTTTGTATCAAAAACTGGCAGAAAAAATTAAAATCCCTGCACAGAATGTCTGCCTTCCTTTCTGGAAGAAGGACAGCCAGGGGATCACATGGGGAGGTCTGCGAAGCTCTCAGCACTGGGCGCCAAGCTCCTCGCTGCCCTGGCTCCTCCCCCTAGCCCCCTCCCCACCCCAGCACAGACCACCCTGGGTTAAAAACAACAACAAAACTTGTTTTCAAGGAACTGGAAATCAAAGAAATACAAGAACAGGATAGTTTCTTGCAGATGGCCCTGAAAAAGAACCCCTGAACAGAAATGCATTGCGTTCACAGGAAACTTGATGTCAAAAACCATCTTTTTCTTCTCATGCCCTGAATTTTTAATATTTTACTCTATTATTTAGCTTAAAACTTTACTGGTGGAGAAGCTGTTTAGGACAAAGGCTTTCTCTTTCTTCCTGCCCCCAAGCACGAGAACCTGTTCTTGAAACAAAATGCTCTCCCATGTCCAGGGCAAAGCCCTGCTGGCCACCCAGAGTCCCAGGAACCTGAGTAGGGACGGAAAACGTTAACGGAATGTGGAGCCCAGATGGACGTCAGGCCAGTGGGTCCCACGCCCCATCCCACCCCGGGGGCCGAGCCGGTGTAAAGTCCTCCGAGCTCAGAGGAGGGGTGAGACCGTGCGCCCAGGGTTACCCTCCACTTTCCACTTGCTCAGTCAACTAATACATTTAGGGGGTGATCCGTCAAAGCGCCGTATAGATTAGTCTAAGCGGCCTGCATTCCAGTAACCGAGAGGTGAAGGTCACCGAGGCGAGAGGGACAGCATTCTGGAGCGTGGTGACCAGATCTAAGGGCAGGGACGGGAAGCTGGCCACGTCAAGGAGGAGCCGCAAAAAGGCCACGGCCCAGACAAACGACCCAGGGTCAACGTTTCCCACTTCTTGTCTCTCGGAGGTGGTGGCGGCGGGGACATACGTGTGCGCACACACATGCACACCCTGTGACACCAGAGCTTGGCAGGCTCACACGACCGCAGTTGTACTAAAGTTTGAAAGTGTCACTGAATTAAGTGTTTCCGACACTGTTTCAGGGGGGAAATTAAATCCCATACTCTCAAGAATGAATCTATACTTAAACTCCAAACAGCAGCACATCCGTGAGTTAGGAACGCAGGCCTGCCAACATGATGGTCATTTCCAGACCAAAAAAGAAGGCAGGATACTGGGATGGGGAAGGGACAGGAGAACTGTGGGCCGCGGCCTTACAGGGAGAGTTCCCTGCTGTCACCTCGGAGCCCAGGCTAGAGCTGGACCATGAGCAGAAACGCTGCCACGTTCGGGGAGGCAAACGTGCGCCTACCCCGTGGCCCTGGGGCCCGGCCGTCCCCCCACCTGCATGTCCGAGGCCAGCGTCTCGTAGGTCCCCCGGGCCTGCCCCTCCCCACCTGCATGTCCGAGGCCAGCGTCTCGTAGGTCCCC